TTTTGAAAACATGAAATGCTTCACTTTTATGAGTAAGAAACAAGGTCCATGTAAACCTAGAGTAGTCATCGACAATCACAAACGCAAAGTAATTGCCACCAAAACTTTTCATTCTAGAAGGACCAAAAAGATCCATGTGCAAAAGTTGAAGCGGTCTAGACGTTGAAACAACGTTCTTAGACTTAAACGAAGCCCGAACATGCTTCCCCTTTTGACATGCATCACATATGGCGTCTTTTTCAAACTTAAGTTTTGGAATGCCAATTACTAAGTCTTGTGAAACCAATTTGTTCAAAAGGTTCATGTTCATATGAGCTACCCTTCGGTGCCATAACCAATTGTCTTCCTCTTTACTCATGAGGCACTTAGCAAAGTCGGAAGGAGATTTGTCTAAGTTAACCATATAAATGTTATCGATTCTATCACCACATAGAATGACCTTATTGTCACTAAGGCGTTCTACCGTGCATGATTTTGAATCGAAGGTCACACGGTTTCCCTTGTCACATAATTGACTTATGCTCAAGAGATTGTGTTTGAGACCTTTAACAAGCAAGACATTATCTATAGAGGAGTTTTCAGATTTACCTACTGAACCAACGCCGATAATTTTTCCCTTGCTATTGTCTCCAAAAACTACATTTCCTCCTTTAGCGGGTTTGATTTGGAGAAACTTGGATGCATCCCCGGTCATGTGTTTGGAGCATCCACTATCAAGGTACCAAAGTAAACTTGATGCCTTCAAGCATACCTATGAAACACATCAATGAGTTTTAGGTACCCAATTTACGTTGGGTCCTCGGGTGTTAGGTGTGTAATGGTAGTGTGCTTGATTTTGTGATAGGTTCCTATGTCTAGTGTAACAAACGGGAGCAATATGGCCTATCCTATTACAATAATGGCAAACTACATTGGGGTTGTACATGTGCCTAGGTTCAGAATAGTTAGAAGGTTTAACCATTTTGTTCCTATTTTGTGAAAATGATGGTTTTTGGAAATTTTGAAATTGGCTTCTTCTAGGTGCTCTAGCATTATTTCTTCTTATTTGAGAAAATTCATTTTTATGCACAAAATCATTTTTCTTAGGTTGTCTACTATGACCATTTTCATTCCTAGGTTTTAGTCTAGGTTGTCTAGTGTCCTTCGGTTGACTAGGTTTTCTATTATCTTCATTTTTAGGTTTCTTATGTTGAACCTTAGATGATTGTCTAGGTGGTGGCTCAACATTATCTTTAGCTTTATTTTTATCAAAACCTATTCCTTCCTTAGAAAAATGCATAGTGTCAAGAAGTAAATTTAAGTCTTTGTGAGGAGTATTAAATTTCTTGACCGTGCTCTCAAGTTTAGCGACTTGCTCTTTTAAAGTTTTGCAAGACCCACATTCACTCGATGAGCTTTCTGGTTTGTCAGCGCTTCTTTTTCCAAAAAAATTTGTTTTCTTGTTTAAGTATTTCATTTTCTTTTTCCAATTTTTCACAATCGTTTTCAAGTAAAGAAAGTCGTTTCTTCAGGGATTTATTTGTTTTAGAAGCGCTAACAAATTCCTCATAAAGTTCATGTAGTGCTTCTTGCATTTCTTCAAAAGTGTAAGAGTCGGAAGAAATATTACATACCTCTTGGACGTCGTCGTTTTGATCTTCGTGCGCCATGAGGCAGAGATTTGCAGCTTCGTCCTCCTCTTGGTTGGTTGATTCGTTGCCGGAATCGCCACCCCAAGAGATGTAGGCCCTTTGCTTCTTGAAGCCAGGCTTATCCTTGCCGTGTTTGGCCTTTGGACACCTTGGCTTGATGTGGCCAATCTCGCCACAGCTGTAGCACTTGGGAGGACCGTCGTGCTTCCTTCCCTTCCGCTCAAATTCCTTCTTCATGAACTTGTGGAACTTCTTGATGACGAGCCCGAATTCATTGTCGTTATCGCTTGAAGCCTCTTCCACCGGTTCCTTGGTGGCTTTGAGAGCTATCCCCTTTTTCTTTTGTTCATCCAAAGACGGGGTTAGAATATAGATTCATAGGTTTTAAGGTTACCTCTTAGCCCGTCGATGGTGACATTGGAGACTCCAATGGATTCATAGATTGCATCGGCTTTTGACCTCCATTCGGGTGTGAGGCTTCGCAGGATTTTCCTCACGAGATCCTTGTTGGTGTAAGTCTTTTTGAGAGCATGAAGGTCGTTGATGATCTTTGAAAAACGGTCGAACATGTCATCAATTTTCTCACCTTCTTTCATCCGGAACATTTCGTACTCTTGGGTGAGAAAATCGATCTTGGCTTCGCGAACTTGATCGGTACCTTCGTACGTCACTTCAAGCTTGTCCCACATCTCCTTGGCGGTTGTGCAACAGGAGATCTTTCGGTAGTCATCGGGGTTGACCGCGCAATATAGCATATTGATGGCCTTTGCATAGTTTTCAATCTTCTTGATGTCCTCGGCATCAAATTCGTTTTCGGTCTATGGGACCGTGGTTTCTCCCACTTTCTTCATAGGGATTTCTTCGCCATTTTTGATCACCAACCACAATTGGAAGTTGGTGGAACGAAT